CTATGAATATATTATACAATATGGTGACTATAACAATACTGTATTACATATTTGAAAGTTGATAAAGACAGTAGTTTTTTAAATTTCAGTTTGAACCCATTCTAAAAGCACTTAATTTCTTCTGCTCTCAGTCCTCTGTTTTAGGAGTGTAGTGTCGTATTTTATATCCTTTTATTTTGTGTATCTCTTTCTGATTTTTACAGATATATCTAATTTGACTGCTCTTTGCTTCTTTGTTTTCTTACTCCTGCATAGTCTTTCTTTTCCACTCAAAGGAATCCCTTTAATATTTCTTGTAATCTACTTTAGTGCTTATGAATTCCTTTAGCTTTTGTCTCTCTGGGGAACTATATTTCCTATTCTGAATGACAGCCTTGCTGAATAGAGTATTCTTAGCCAAAGGGTTTTTTTTTTATTATTTCAGTACTTTAAATATATCATACCAATTCCTTCTGGCCCTGCAGAGTTTCTGGTGAAAAATCAGCTAATAGCTTTTTGGGTTTCCCTTGAATGTAACTGCTTTCTTTCCTCTTTTTGCTTCTACAGTTCTCTCTTTATCACTACTTTTTGCCATTTTTATTACTATGTGTCTTGGTGTGGACATCCTTTGGTTGATTTTATCAAGAGTTTTCCGTGCCTCCTTGATCTGGATTTCTGTCTTCCAGATTAGGGGAATTTTTAAGTGATACTTCAAATAAATTATTTTTCCCTTTTCCTTTTTCTTTTTGAGATCCCTTAATGCGAATGTTTTTATGCTCGATGGTATCACTGAATTTCCGTAACCTATTCTCATTTTATATTATTCTTTTTCTTCTGTTCATCTTGATAGCTTCTGATTTCTCTTGTCTTCTGGGTTGCTGAGCCGTCTTCTACTTCCTCTAATCTATTCTTTATTCCCTCTGGTGTATTTTTAATTTCAGTTACTGAGTTTTTCATCATTGATTGCTTCCCTTTAATGTTTTCTGTCTCTTTGTTGAGGGTCTCCTTGAGATCCTCCAGAAATAAGCATATTGCTTATTTCTGGGTTGTTGTTGTTGGTTTGTTTGTTTTAGATTTCTTGCTGTGATATTGTCATGTTCTCTCATTTGGGACGTATTTCAGTGTCTCTTCATGTTACCTAACTCCCTGGGTTTGTTTCTGTGTGTTAGGAAAGTCAGCTACATTTCCTGTTCTTGATAGTAGTGCCTTTATGAAGAAGGCCTGTGGTATCGTGCAGTGCGATTATGTACCCTGTTCCAGGGTGTCTCCTGTATGTGTGTTATATGCGCTCTACTATTATGGCTGAGCTGTGTTTGCCATCAGGCCAGTCATCTGCAATGGCTCTCTTTGTCTTTTGTAGGTTTGGTTCCTGCAGTTGTTTTGTTTGTTTTTTAAGTCAAGAGAAGAGAGTTGTATTTTTGTTTGTTTGTTTGTGTCTGTTTTTAAGATTATTTATTTATTTATGATAGCTACAGCACACAGGCAAAGGAAAGGGAGGGGCAGAGGGGAAAATGAAGGGGAGAGAGAGAATCTGAAGCTGACTCCCCACTGAGCATTAGAGGCTTATGCAGGGCTTGATCTCCCCATGAGATCATGACCTGAACCCAGTCCGAAAAGTTGGGTGCTTAACTGACTAAGCCACGAATGCATTCCTGGTCCCTGTATTGATTGTTAGTGGACCAGTTTGGGCCTCCTTAGGCTTGATTTGAATCAGACCAGGCATTTGCCAGAGTTACATTAGCACACAACTCTGTGTTGTGCCTGTAGAAGCTTTTCTTTTCTTTTTTTTTTTTTTTAAGATTTTTATTTATTTATTTGACAGAGAGGAGAGGAAACAGGCTCCCTGCTGAGCAGAGAGCCCGATGCGGGGCTCGATCCCAGGACCCCGGGATCATGACCTGAGCCAAAGGCAGAGGCTTAAACCACTGAGCCACCCAGGTGCCCCTGTAGACGCTTTTCTTGATAGGCAGTCCTGTGGCCAGAACTGCTGTCTGCCCTGAGTCCATCTCAAGGGTAGTCAGATTGAAATGTGTGGTTGGTTATCTTTTCCTTGTCCCTTGGGCAGAATTCCCTTTAGGATGGTGTTGCCCCTAGATGAGGCTGCTTGCGTACTGGCAAGCTTGTGTTGCCACTCAGGATATACTCCTGCAGAGGCCAAGTCCACAGAATAATGCAGGGGTGGTGCTCACAGTGATAGCAAGGTGTGTACCTGTATGCTGTGGGGGGTGAGGGGGGGGACATGGAGCCTCTTGACTGAGGCTATTGTTAGAGGGGACATGTCCACGAGATAACCAGGGCAGGTCACACTTTCAGCAAACTAATTAGAGAGTGTTGACACTGTACTGGTTCTGGAAAGTTTCCAGGTATCCTGGTTGGAGGGCAAGAGAAAAATGGTTTCCACCCACTTCTTTTGTTCTGGAGAAGTGCTTTGCCCCTTCAGCACACCTCTGAGATTAGTAAACAAAATCTTTCACTTTTAGCACTGCCACTACTGTGCTGTGTCTCTATGAAACTGTTTATTTTATGTCTTTAAGAGTGGGTGCTCAATTTTCTATCACTGTCCCAGCTCTTCCAGAGCCCAACCCACAGATTTAGGAAATTGTAGGTGTTAAATCTGGTTTTCAAATCCGAATGTCATGGAGCTATACCTTTCACGTGTGGGTCTAGATTCTCCCTCTCTTTTAGCCCAAGGTATCCCTCCCTCTCATGGACAGTCCTATGAGTTTGTTAGGCTTGCTACCATATCTCTACCCTTCCTACCCTCTTCACTGTGGCCTCTTCTCAGTGGTTTACCTCTGGCAAGCATGCCACTCCCCAACCTCAGCTTCCCACCTCTATGTGTTGCCCTGGAGTATGTGTTTTGTTTTGTTTTTAAGACTTATTTATTTGAGAGCGTTTGAGAGAGAGAGAACATGAGTGGGGGGCTGTGGAGGTGGGGTGAAGAGCAAAGGGAGAGGGAGAAGCAGACTCTGCTGAGCAGGGACTCTGGGATCGTGACCTAAACCAAAGGCAGCCACCCAGTCAGTTGAGCCACCCAGATGCCCCTGCCCTGGAGTTTTTAACTCTTAGACATGCTTACATTGAGTCTTTGGCAGATTGTGAATTATGTTTAGTTTTTCCTGCCACAACATTGTTTCCAGTGGAGGTCTCGTTTCCTTTTACGATTTTTTACTACCTGTCTCCAGGTTTGGATGCAGTATTTCGCTCCTGTGTCCTCACGTCTTTTACTCATCTGAAAATAGTTGATTTTTAGATTTGCTTAGCTTTTTAATAAATTCTTAGTTCACTGTGGCTGTTTCTGCTCTTCTAACAGGTCCAAACAAGTCCTCGGTCAAGTATTTAATTTGCAGATACTTTCCTTGTTCAATAGCTATCTTTTTCACTTTTTGATGGTGTTCTTTGGAGCACAGAACTTTATTTTCTATCAGTTATTACTGTACTTTGATTGCTTTATCTTTGATGTCATAACTAAGAAATGACTGCCTAATCTATGGTTGTGCATTTTACTCCTGTATATTTTATTTTAAGAATTTTATAGTGGTGGGGTGCTTGGGTTGGATAAGTGTCTGCTTTTGGCTCAGGTTGTGATCCCAGGGTTCTGGGATCGAGCCCTGCATCAGACTAACTGCTCAGTGGGAAGCCTGCTTCTCCCTCTCTCACTCCCCCTGCTTGTGGTCCCTCTCTTGTTGTGTCTCTCTCTGTCAAATAAATAATATCTTTTAAAAAATTTAAAAAAATTTTTATAGTGGTACATCTTTCATTTATATCTTTGACTTATTCTGAATTACGGTAAAAGGAAGGAATCTAATTTCATTCTTTTCAGTGTGGATTTCCAATTGTTTTAGCATCATTTCCGTATTTAATTATATTAGCACCTTGGTCAAGAGAGTAACATTTTTATTTAGCTTTTAAATTCCTCTCTAGTGCTGTGTGCTCTATTATTTTTTATTATATGTAATATAATATGTGATGATATATATATATATAGTCTCAAAAAATTAGACTATACAGAACTTGTTTATATGCCCTTCATTTTGTTAGTATTAATGCACACAGGCAGGCTCAAGATGACTAAACAAAATCATAACTTAAAATCGTAAATCTTAATTTTTCTTACTGTAAACATCTATAGCTGTATTTGTACTCCTGGGCAAACACTCTTCCGGTTTAGAACATGTACTTTTGTCTTGCTACTTGACATTTGTAAAATAACTTTTAATAGCCTCCTAAGTTGCTTTTATTTTTTTTTCATTATCTTTATGAATTTGTGGCAAGCATAAAAACCTACATATTTCATTCCAGAACAATATACATAAGGGAAACAAATTTTGCCTTTTGTTTTTGAAATACGGAATAGAGTGTTGTTCTTGGAGTTACGGATGTACCTCCAGAATTTTTTTCCTAAAAAAAGCCTCATTTTTTATATTTTTACTTTATTTTACTTATTTTATTTTATTTATATTTTTTATTTGAAAGAGAGAGAGAATATGTCTGACAGTTAGGGAAGAAGCAGAGGAGGATGTACAGGAACAAATAGGCTCCTTAGCCAGCTTGGAGTCTGAGGCAGGGCTTGATCTCACAACACTGAGATCATGATCTGAGTGGAACTCAAGAGTCTGACACTTAACTGACTGAGTCACCCAGGTGACCCTTTTATGTTATTTTTATTTTTCAGTTCTCTTTAAAGTTCTCTTGTAATCACTTAAAATGAAATTCTTCTACCATTTTCAGAAGTCTGATGGTCCACAATAAAATTAGAATTGGTACATGTTTTTCTTATTTACGTAATACTTGACTTTTATAATATTAATTTTGCGAATGATGGAGGAAGTTAGTACCATGCTATTTGGCTTGATTTTTTATTTAATGGCATCAATGAAGATATTTTATGTGAAATGTGCCTATTAGAAACTTAGTTTTGAAATGAGTGTGCAATGCTCATGTAGGTGAAACTGTTTTATTAATTATGTAATGGAAATTGTAGCCTGAAATACATACTGAGTGTTTCTGCTAATCTATAGGAAGAAAATGAGAAAAGAACACAACATAAAGAATATTCAGATACTGAATCCATATCTTCAGATTCGTAAGTACCTTTAATGTTTGTTCAGTATTTCTGTCCAAAATTCATGGACTTAATATTCTTTAAAACATTTTTTTTAAAGTTCTGGAAGGAGAAGGAAAGGACCTTTTAAAACCATAAAATTTGGAACCAACATTGACCTCTCCGATGACAAAAAGTAAGTCCTCAAGTTATGTGCAGTTTGAATCACAAGATTGAAAACTGTCTGATTTCATATATATTTTTTTTAATGTTACCATTGAAGTCTTAGTTAAAACCACTACCATTCTGAAATGATTTTTGCTAGATTTTGCAATAGATTTTAGTTACTGAGGAATATCAACACATTAAATATACAAATTAGAAAAGAAACATTATTGCTTTTCTTTCTTTTCTCTTTTTTTAAGGTTTTATTTATTTATTAGAGAGAGAGGAAGAGAGCAAGAGTCGGGGGAGGGTCAAGGGAAGAGGGAGAAGCAGGGAGCCTATCCTGACCTGAGCCAAAATCAAGATATGCACATTTAATCGACTGAGCCACCCAGGCGCTCCTCTTTTATTCCTAAAATTATAAATTTTTAGGATTTAATTCTTTTCAGTGATCTTGATTTACTTCAGAATTTTTTTCCTTGGAAGAGTTAACATTCTACTACTACTAACCTTAAAAATGTAATAATTAGAGATTTAAATGTGTTTCTGATTAGAACACAGTACTTTCAGAGACCTGGTAAAATCTCTTAAATGTTTGCAACAAGATGACACTTTTGATCTATTACTTTATTTCAGGTGGAAATTGCAGCTACATGAGTTAACTAAACTTCCTGCTTTTGTGCGTGTGGTATCGGCAGGAAACCTTCTAAGCCACCTTGGTCATACTATCCTGGGCATGAATACAGTTCAGCTGTACATGAAAGTTCCAGGGAGTCGGACACCAGGTTATTTTTGTGAACTAATATATCTTGTATAACTGAAGAATTTAATCAGATATGAAACACACGTTCAACCAGTTTCTTCCCATTTGTAATTAATAAAGTCAGAAGCCAAATGGGTTTTTAATGCTTTCTACTACATAAAAATATTTGTAATTGTTTCTATAAATTAGCTGAGAGTAGTTTTCTCTATGTGCCTTTTTTTTTTTTTTTAATGTGTAAACATGAAAATAATCCAAAACATTTAACTGGGAAGGAGGCACTAAATCAGTAAGGAGTAAAGGAGATAAGCAGTTTAAAAGCTTTGTCTTTATCCCATTGATTGCAAGTTCAGTGGTTTGCCAAATTTTTTTGCCACAGTTAAAATTAGAGCTATGTCATAATAATGAACTAATATTCTTACTGTTTAAAAAAGAATTTCTTTGAAGATATTAAATATTTAATACACCAATATTTTCTATTCTGTCCTATTATGTTTCATTTTATAAAAGTGTAATTTGGAAATTTTCTAGTGAAGGAGCCAATTGAATTTCTTCATGGTGATTCTAAGTGTTTTAGGTTCTATAAGCCGCAATGTAAAATTGAGGATATTTTGTAGATACTCATATAATGGAAAAAATATTTATATTACTTCTTATTGATGAAGGTCAAAATAGAAAATAATTTAGTACAGTTTTTCCTTCTCATGGGAGAATAAATTTCACTTCATTGGGGTTTGGGTTAGCATTCCCTATGAGAGTCAGCTACAGATGTGCATCTATGAAAGCTGTTCTACAATGAGATCTATGTATTTCATCTTTAAAAAATGTATTTTCACACAAATAGGCTCTATCAAATACTGTAAATCTATAATCCTATTTTTTTGAGCATATTAATTGGTTGGAAAGCATTTACTGAATTTTAGTTCTTTTACTTGATTTTTTTTAAAATTTTTTTAAATTTATTTCTTTGACAGGCAGAGATCACAAGTAGGCAGAGAGAGAGAGAGAGAGAGAGAGGTGGAAGCAGGCTCCCTGCTGAGCACAGAGCCCAATGCGGGGCTTGATCCCAGGACCCTGGGATCATGACCTGAGCTAAAGGCAGAGGCTTTAACCCACTGAGACACCCAGGCGCCCCTTACTTGATATTTTTGTTTTATGTCTCATTATTTTGCATATTAATCCTTTGCAGTTTGCATTTGGAATGTTCTCATTTGCAGTGGCTTTTACAATATGGAAAGGTTTCCTACTCTGCATTGAGATTTGAAACATGGTATTAGATTTGTAGTTTGCGCTTGAAAAATATATGCTGCAGATATTGGAGGGAAAGGATGTCTGGCTTCTTCAGTTTTTAAAAACACAAAGTATAGAAAACAGCTTGCTAGTACTCGTGATTCCAAAAATACTGTTTTGCAAATGACTTTATGTAATTTAAGTTTTGCTTTGTAATTTTAGGACTCTCTAAAGAATTGTTTTGAAGGGGCGCCTGGGTGGTTCAGTGAGTTAAGCCTCTACCTTCGGCTCAGGTCATGATCTCAGGGTCCTGGAATCGAGCCCCACGTTGGGCTCTCTGCTCAGCAGGGCGACTGCTTCCTTCTTTCTCTCTCTCTCTCTCTCTGCCTGCCTCTCTGCCTACTTGTGATTTCTGTCAAGTAAATAAATAAAATCTTAAAAAAAAAAAAAGAATTGTTTTGAAAACTGTAACAAAATTTTTTTTATCTGTCAGTGTTCATTCACTAACCGTAACTAACAGTTGCTCTCAAGCAGAAAATGTTGAGTTTCAACCCTGATGGTCTAAAAATTATAATTTTGGGGCACCTGGGTGGCTCAGTGGGTTAAAGCCTCTGTCTTCTGCTCAGGTCATGATCCCGGGGGCCTGGGATCGAGCCCTGCATCGGGCTCTCTGTAGAGAGCCCGTTTCCCTTCCTCTCTATCTGGCTGCCTCTCTGCCTACCTGTGATCTCTGTCTGTCAAATAAATAAATAAATAATTTAAAAAAATAAAAAATAAAAATTATAATTTCACTATTGCCAAATCATGGGTCAGCTTCTATTTCTGACAATAGCTCAGCTAATATTCATGAAGTCTTCAAGAATGGTACATAATCAAATATCTACCAGTCAATAATATTGTGAGGGACGCCTAGTGGCTCAGTTGGTTGGACGACTGCCTTCGGCTCAGGTCATGATCCTGGGGGTCCCGGGATCGAGTTCCGCATCAGGCTCCCAGCTCCATGGGGAGTCTGCTTCTCCCTCTGACCTTCTCCTCGCTCATGCTCTCTCTCACTGCCTCTCTCTCAAATAAATAAATAAAATCTTTAAAAAAAAAAATATTGTGAATAGCCATAGGCATTATTCACTTTACATTTTAACAAACTTCTCTAGTATGTCCATGCAAATTCACACATTTTCTCCACCATCAGTTGTAATACATTCTAATGGATTCCATTCTAGCAGTATTTAACGTTTTCCAACTTCTTTGAAAATATTCTGACTGTAGTTTGTCCTATAAAGACTAACACTTCAGTCACTTAACATTTGTCTTAATTCCTCAATTAGTTAAAATACAAATTAGCAAATACACATTAGCAAAATCTGTTGACCTGTTAAGGAACAAGAAAAACTGCCTAAAATTATTTACCTTTTTATTATAATTGACTATTTGTATTGCTCTCAACATCTTCACTGAGTAGCTGTTCTCAAAAAAAAAAAAAAACAAACAAAAAACGACTTAATAGTCTGGAACCATTTCATTTTCTCCAGATACAGTGATTTTTTTATTCACTGAAGTGAAATACAATTTTATTAACTCATGGTCTATTCACCACTTTTTTTGCTTGGCCAGACACTGATTTTTATTTCAGTCTCAATCTTTTTTATTTTTATTTTTTTCTTTTCCTCCTCCTATTTGTTTAATATTTGAAAAGAGGTTCAATGATGAGATACTGCATTTAACTTTTCTAATTTTTTTTTGTCCATTGTTTTTCTGTAAGATAGGTACATTGTAATGAACACTTTTGAAGTTTCAGTGTACAATAATCTTTCTTGCACAGCAAGTATATCCTTGTGTATTAAATACAATACTTAAACTGTGAAATGGAGAAAATTATTTGCATTACCGCATGAAGTTCATTTATCTTGCTTTAACATGATGGATATGCACTGGTCTTTTTTCAGATAAAATTTTGAAATATGGTGATATGTTTATCAGCTGAAATGCTAATGAATTATAGCTGCCTTAATACAATATTTTACCAACCAGCAGTGAGAACAAATGCTAATGTGTAATATTGTTACAGCTGCTTAATTGTGATTTTTTGAATGAAAAGACTAATATGCAAAACATAAACCAGTGGTGTATTTATGTTCCATGAAAGTCTTCTAAACAAGAACACATGTTTCAGCCATGGGCAGTAGTTTGCCATCCCATGATTTAAAATCTTAAAAATCTTAAAATTTTCACCCAGCACAAATCATCTTTGTTTCCTTTGCATTGACATAGATCACGTTACATATCATAATGCAAATATTTAACAATCTATGAATTCTGGCAACTATCCATAAAGGCATATAGGAGCAACAAATAACCTGGTTCTATATATGTACTGATGCCTATATAGCCTATGTATAAACCTCTTCTACTTCTGTTTTATTTATTTATTTATTTTTAAAGATTTATTTATTTGACAGAGAGCACGAGTAGGCAAAGCGGCAGTCAGAGGAAAAGAGAGAAACAGGCTCTCCACTGAGCAGGGAGCCTGATTGGCAGAGCTCAATCCCTGGAGCCTGAGATCATGACCTGAGCTAAAGGCAGACGACTGAGCCACGCAGGCGCCCTTCTGTTTTTATTTTTATTACTTGTATCAGTTATAGTTTGCCAGAGTGCTTGCTTCTTTACATTTTCACTGTATATTAGCCATATAGTTTGTTTAAAGTAGGTTGTTGCTTATTTTTAAATGAGTTAGGGTTTGTGACTTTTCTTATTAAAATCTGAAAATCTTTTTTTTTAAAGGTTTTTTATTTATTTATTGGACAGACAGAGATCACAAATAGGCAGAGAGGCAGGCAGAGAGAGAGGAGGAACAGGCTCCCTGCTGAGCAGAGAGCCGGATGTGGGGCTCAATCCCAGGACCCTGGGATCATGACCTGAGCTTGAAGGTAGAGGCTTTAACCCACTGAGCCACCCAGGCGCCCCAGATCTGAAAATCTTTTTGAAGAAATGCTGACTCAGGGTCTCCTTTGAGATTATCCATATTTATTCTTCTCAGGGATTTTGATGTTAATGGAACTCATTGAGTGGAATGTTTATATTCCCAGGCCATTACTGTAAAGTCACTTACATAATACTTTATCACTAGTAGTGTTAAAGTTGAGATAAGGAGGTTGTAGTTAATGAGAGAAGACTTTAGAGTCTTTATCCTCGTCGTCATTAATACTTTTGTAATACTAAGCAGGAATTTCATATGGCTAAGGGTTTTTTGAAAAAAAAAAAAAAAATATATATATTTTGTAATGATTTTGTTTCTGTTCCAACATACATAGAAAAGGTACCTTACTATAACAATTTACATTCTGACATGATCTTGAAATGTGTTCTGAAAAATTCAGATTGTTCTCAGATCATTTATTACAAAGGGTTTTTTTGTTGGTTTTTTTTTTTTTTTTTTTTAATAAATCTGTCATGATGTCCTCAAATCTCAAATTTAAAACTCTGTGCCAGGATAATATCTACCTACTTGTGGATAGAAGCATTTATAATTAATGTGTCAACATCAAATTGGGATTTATAAGAGCTGTGGAGGAGCAACAGGTTGTTAAGCAACCAAATTACATTTTGAAAACCCTCCCTCTTCTTTAATTCTTTGATACTCTAAGAATTGAAAGTATTTTATGGAGGAAGAAGTAGAAATAATGACAGTAAGTAATATTAATTGCTTATCTTATGCTGTCCTCTGATTTATAAGCATATTTTTCCCTCTTAAAACAACCCAGTGATTTAAAGGCACATTTTCTCCCATTGAATTTACACTATAATAATAACTTTTGTTTTCCCTTTTTCTTTTCAGGTCACCAAGAAAACAACAACTTCTGTTCTGTTAACATAAATATTGGTCCAGGTGATTGTGAATGGTTTGTTGTTCCTGAAGATTATTGGGGTGTTCTGAATGACTTTTGTGAAAAGTAGGTTTCTGAACAGATTTTGTTTTCAAATAATTTTGAGAAGACATTTATTATAAAGGGCAAAGTATGATGCTAAATTTCTAATTATCCAGAAATTTTATTTTACTTTTTTATTTTTATTTTTTAATCCAGAAGTTTTATTTTAAATGGTATTATTTGAAATCATTTTTACTTTATGTTCTGTGGAATAACACTAAATGAAAAATGCTATGAAACCAGTTCATGTAGTGACAACAGGTATGAATTCAAAAGACAGGGAGTTAAGAAATTTTTTTAAAGTTAGCTTTAGGGGCGCCTGGGTGGCTCAGTGGGTTAAAGCCTCTGCCTTCGGCTCAGGTCATGGTCCCAGGGTCCTGGGATCGAGCCCCGCATCGGGCTCTCTGCTCCGCAGGGAGCCTGCTTCCTCCTCTCTCTCTCTCTCTGCCTGCCTCTCTGCCTACTTGTGATCTCTGTCTGTCAAATAAATAAATAAAATCTTTAAAAAAAAAAAGTTAGCTTTAAAAATTGTTGAGTGTGACTGCACATTCTTTTCAGATGTACTTTACAGAAAAATATGATTTAATTATAAATGAAATTAGAAATGGTAAGAATTCAAAAATTAACCATCCTTATGCCTTGCTAATAATTCAAGGATGTATGTCTCTAACAGTGAGCCTAAAATGATAATGTTCAGAGGCAGGTGAATTCCCTGCTATTTAAAGAGTTGATTATGATACTGGTAAATGATATGTTTATGAAATATAAAAAATTGGGTGAAATTCTAATAATTATTAATATATGTGACCTTTAAAATGAGTACACATTTTATATATCAATTTTGGAGGGCTTTTAACTCAGTATATTTGATTTAGTAAAAAGTTTGATGGTAATTTAAACAATTTAGAGTTTTCTTAATGGCAAGGTATGATCATTTTTTATTCTCTTATGTATAATTTTTCTCATGTTAAGAAAAGGTCAGATTTCTAAATATTTAAAATTTATCAGGAAAATAATGTAATACTCTCTTCTCTGAATGTTTATTCCAGCAAACTGGTAACTTAAGTAGGGTATAGGAAAGGTCTGATGGGAAGTCTCTTGTGTGTTTAAGAACTGTTTCTTTTTCTAAGATTTTGTTTATTTATTTTAGAGGGAACATGGGCACGCATACATGCACACATTTGAGTTGGGGGAGGGTAGAGGGAGTGGGAGAAAAGAATCTTGAGTGTACACTGAGTGTGGTGGAGCCTGATGCCGGGTTTGAACTCACGACCCTAAGATCATGACCTTAGCTAACTGAGCAACCCAAGTGCCCTAAGAACTATTTCTTAAAGTTATAAGGAGGTGTATCATAACTTTCCACGTACAGTACAAATATTCTTACTATTCTGAGTGGGAACTATTTTCAGGGTTTAACTTCTTTAAAATAGTATGGGTATATTTAGGTCAAAGGTAGAAAACATATGGAATAATAATCAAGTTAGAGTAATTCATCTTAAGTTGAAGAAATCACACTTAGCATCTCAGGTTTTCTGTGAAATTTATTTTGCAAAGAACAGAATATAGCTGCCTTTTTTTTTTTTTTAAGATTTTATTTATTTATTTGACAAAGAGAGCAGGAGAGGGAACACAAGCAGAGGGAGCAGGAGAGGGAGAAGCAGGCTTCCCGCAGAGCAGGGAGCCCAATGTGGGGCTCGATCCTAGGACCCTGGGATCATGATCTGAGCCAAACGCAGACGCTCAGTGGCTGAGCCAGTCAGGCGCCCCCAGAATGTAGCTTCAAATATTTAAGACTTTTATATTCATTTCAGGACTATACTTAAAATCTTTAAATCAACCACTGTTTTTAAACTTTTGAAGGAAACATATAATCTGTTTGCCTTAGTTGGCTATCCCCCCCCCCCTTTTTTGTATGATGTTTTCTCCACTTTAATGTTGTCACGGTATGGGTAAAATAAGGTTTATACCATGATTGTAACTTTTTACTTTCTTGTTTTCTTTCCCTCCCTCTTCCTGACCCACTGCCCCAGGTCCCTCTTCATGTTTTTCTGACAACATTGCAGAGTTTTCAGAAAACACAGTTTTCAGCAGTTCATTTATCAGTATCTGCTAGACTTACCTCTAGAAAAGTCCTTTCATTTTAGGAGGAAAAAGGAAGAGAGACAGGTTCCATGTACACAATTCTAAGACAGCCATTATCATTTTTGTTAAGAAAAAACAGAAATAAAACAGAAGTAGGGCAAATGCTTTTCTTTGACCTTCATAAAGGAACAATTCTATGATTTGAGTTTTCTCTTGAGAATATTAAATAATTGAAGTACCTATAACTAAATTCTTACAGAAAAGAATTGGTATTGTAGTTATCTTAAAATATTTCATATTGTGATGAAGAAGAATAATAAAAAGTCACAATTTTATAATAAAAATTTGAGTTTGGTCTCTTTGCATTGCTGGTGTTGGTGGTGATTCATGTGAAGAAAAAGGACTTTATATTGTTGGGAATTGAGGGGAAAGTTTTTGTTCTTATACCGGCCACAGTGCTTCTGGCTCAGAAGTTAAGTGGGTTCTTGTAATCCCTACTCTCAATTTCCTATTTATTTATTTATTTATTTATTTATTTATTTATTTATTTATTTAAAAGATTTTATTTATTTATTTGACAGAGAGAGATCACAAGCAGGCAGAGAGAGAGAGAAGGAAGCAGGCTCCCCGCTGAGCAGAGAGCCCGATGCGGGGCTCTATCCCAGGACCCTGGGATCATGACCTGAGCCGAAGGCAGCGGCTTAACCCACTGAGCCACATAGGCGCCCCTCAATTTTCTTTTTAGAGATTCCTTGATATTAAAAGGTTATTCAGAAAGAAAGGATAAATCAGAAAGAGAATTAAAAATTAGTCTATTTAAGTGTAGTTTGAATCTTTGACTTTTGGACTTCTGAAAAGAATTTAAGCATATAGTATAGATCTTTGAATTATCCTACATAATCATGTGCTACATAATCATGTGCTATTAGTATTTTTTTCAGGATTACCCCTTAATATTTACAAATCTCAACTTTTGAAACATGCAGTTCTTTTTACAGTGCTAATAACTTTTAATGAATACATAAAATATCTTTTAACATTTGGAAATTGTCGCCCCATCTTTTATGAGACATTAAAAAAAAAGTTAGTTCATTGTTATTTATTCCTTCCCACCTATCTCCCCCCAGAAATAATTTGAATTTCCTGATGAGTTCTTGGTGGCCCAACCTTGAAGATCTGTATGAAGCAAATGTCCCTGTATATAGATTTATTCAGAGACCTGGAGATTTGGTCTGGATAAATGCAGGCACTGTCCATTGGGTTCAGGCTGTTGGCTGGTGCAACAACATTGCTTGGAATGTTGGTCCACTCACAGGTATTTTAATAATCTGTAAATAGATTTTACATTTTAAAGAATTATTTCTAATTGGTGGTATTCTGTTAGAAAATAATTCACTAGATATTGGAAAATTGTGTCTCCTTGGAAAAGTCTTATTTGTATGGATAGTGCATTGAAGTTAATAAGTGAATATCTAACAAATATTTGGACAGCTAACACATGTATGCTTTTGTAGACTTGGTGTATATACTTTGGATATATCACAGTGTTTTGTGTGGCTTTTATGGAAGATCTGGTATATTATAGGAATAGTCAACCTTCTCAGTTATTAAACCTTGTTTAATATATGTAAGGTAAAGAACTCAGCTTTTGGAGTAAGAAAGACTTGATTAGCTTTGTTAATTTTTCGACTTAGGGCAAATATTTTAACCCCTCAGGGCTTAATTTCCTTATTTAGAAAATGAGAATTCAAATCAGTAAAGATTTGAAAGGATGAAACAAGATGTAAAATGAGCCTCACAGTACTGTTAAATGCTGTTTGCATGATAAATATTTTTAAAACTTTTTAATTTGGGGGGGCTTGAACTCCCAACCCTGAGATCAAGAGTCTCATGCTCTTCTGACTGAGCGAGCTAAGTGCCCCTACATGATAAATATTTTTAAACTATTAAACTATTCTTTTTTAGAATTGGTGTTAGGTGGTAATAATTATCTTCATACCTTTTGTTAGTTGGGGTAGCTTTATAACTTAAAAAAACTTTGTTTTCTCCTAGCCTGTCAGTATAAATTGGCAGTGGAACGGTATGAATGGAACAGATTGCAAAGTGTGAAGTCAGTAGTACCCATGGTGCATCTTTCTTGGAATATGGCACGAAATATCAAAGTCTCAGATCCCAAGCTTTTTGAAATGATTAAGTAAGTGTTTACAAATCACTATAGTCCCTGTTTTTGTGGGGTGTGGGGAATGTGGTGGAAATGTTAACTAATCAATATTTCCCCCCCAAATTATTATGTCAGTTAACATCAAGTGATAAGATGGTCTAGAAGTCTTCACAAAAGAGAATTCACATGTTAAAAAGTATTTTCTTCATTTACAGGCTATAATTATTATGATACAGAGAGGAATAAAGGCATATATACATGATTCTATACCTTTAAAGTTAGAATCTGTTCTTTCTCTTGCTCTCTCACCAGAATGATTTCCAAGACAACTTTACTTTTAATATTGAAAGTCTGCCTGTAGCAAGAGAGAGTGAGAATGTGATTTTGAAATAAAAGTCCAATAAATAAATTAACATTTATAATAGTGATTTAACGAAAATGGTTGAATTTTCTGGCTTCTCTATCTAAACCATCTCCTTTTTAGCTTCTTAAACTTAAAAGAAGCTAATAAATTAGCTTACAAAATTAATAGATTACCAATTTGAATACATGTATTGTAGTAATTTCTCATTTATTAACCTGGTTTCCATTCCATTTGTTTTACACGTTTATTTGCAGTAACATATTTTTAGACCCTGCCACTTACTGTATTTCTCCAAATTGTAGTGTATATGCTTTTCTTTCCTTCTCTGCATCACTATCACCAATGAAAGATCATTCTATTCAGAGAAATACGAAATATTATCGATTATAATAATTACGCTGCTGTTTTTTTCATTGTTATTTATTATGTGTTTCCAGGGCATATATATGTATATGTGTATATATATGTATATGTGTGTGTATGCATATACACACATATGTAAATTATATATATAGCATTTATATATGCCACATATGTAAAACGTTATTTATATATAAACAAACAAATAAAACAGGAGAGGAAAATTTAGCATGTCTTTTAAATCTGTTGGCCAGTGTCTTTAAAATCAGTGCTGGTTTACAGGGCGCCTGGGTGGCTCAGTGGGTTAAAGCCTCTGCTTTCGCCTCAGGTCGTGATCCCAGGGTCCTGGGATCGAGCCCCACATAGGGCTCTCTGCTTGGCAGGGAGCCTGCTTCCCTTCCTCTCTCTCTGCCTGCCTCTCTGCCTACCTCTGATCTCTGTATGTCAAATAAATAAATAAAATCTTAAAAATAAAATAAAATAAAATAAAATCAGAGCTGGTTTATTATGAACAATTTCAATTCTATATTGAAAAATTTGTTCTAATAAGTCTATTCAAACAAAGCTGAGGCCATGGTAATATGCCTATTCCCTGGCATATTCAGGGGCCATTCAATTTTTGGTATATATTTGAAATTTAATTTAGAAACATTGAAAGAGCATTTAGTCAAAACTCATGTAGTAATTGCTATTAAAAATATACACACAGTGGTCATTTTTCAGTTTCTCTATCAAGGTCATTACTTCAAGTCTGTGTCTTGAAAATATCCACTGGCTGGTCCAAAATGAACTATTTTTTCCCAGTGCCTTAAGATTTTTTTGTTTTTAGGGTTTACGCACAATGAATCACTTGTCTTTGAGAACCACAGAGTTTATGCCAGACACTGTTGTTGGCAATGAGGATAGATAGTATGTAATAAGACAGAATCTTTGAGTTGATGTGGTTTGAATTTTAATGGAGACAGACAGGCAAATTTTGAATCACGTAAATAAAGTACCATTAAATAATATAAGTAAAATAAAAGAGGGCAGTAGTTTTTTGTTTATAGGGTAGATAATGCTGCTTTTGCTTAAGTGACTTCTAAGGGTGTGATTTCTACACCTGGACCTGAATAATGAAAAGGAGATAACCATGAGAAGACCTGGGAGTAGAGTAGAATATATCAGGCCTACAAAAGATATGAAAGGCTTACATCAGAACAACTTTGGTATACTTACAGATAGAAAAGTCAGTAGAACTGTGGCAGAATTAGGAAGGGAATAGGTGTGGTAGTGCGTTCACATAAATGATCAGATACTAAATTATAGACTGGTTTGTAGTAGTGGAAGTGGAGAGGGATCACTCTACAAAAAGTTGTGAAACTAGAACTGAAGGGCTTACACACAGATTGGCTTGTGGGATAAGAAGAAAAAAGGAATCATGAAAAGATTATCATCTTTGTTGTTCTTAACTATTCTTCATTAACTTAAAATATCTCTTACTACCCTCAATAACTTTCTAGACCCGTTCCACCTTGTCTCAGTATTTCAAATGAGGGATAGCAAGACTTCATGATAGTAGATGTTCCCATTTTCTGTGGTGGAAGTTTGTTTGTTTGTTTGTTTAAAAGATTTTATTTATTTATTTGATAGAGAGATCACAAGTAGGCAGAGAGGGGGAAGCAGGCTCCCCTGTGAGCAGAGAACCCAATGTGGGACTTGATCCCAGAACCCTGGGACCCTGACCTGAGCTGAAGGCAGAGGCTTAACCAACTGAGCCACCCAGGCGCCCCGGTGGTGGCAGTTTAAATTGCATGGTCTGAGTTCTGGCAGGAGTCTTAATATTGAATTTGAATATATAAATTTAGGTTGTCTTCCACTTAAATTACTGAAGACCGTTTTCATCCATATTTTCCATACACATTTTTTTTTTAAACTTAAGTGAATCTCCTTATTTACCTGTGCTCCATTTCTGCTGGAAGTTCTGGATGGTTGGGTCTTTCTTAAAGTACGTGCTTATAAACTGTGGAATTTTTTTTTTTAAAGATTTTAATTTATATATTTATTTGACAGAGAGAGAGAGAGAGAGAGAGAGAGAGAGAGAGAGAGATCACATGTAGGCAGAGAAGCGGGGGTAGGGGGGTGGAAAGCAGGCTCCCTGCTGAGCAGACAGCCTAATGAGGGGCTCGATCCCAGTACCCTGAGATCATGACCTGATCTGAAGGCAGAGGCTTAGCCCACTGAGCCACCCAGGCGCCCAGACTGTGGAATAATTTTTTTTTTAAGATTTTATTTATTTATTTGACAGAGAGAGAGAGATCACAAGTAGGCAGAGAGGCAGGCAGAGAGCGAGGGGGAAGCAGGTTCCCTGCTGGGCAGAGAGCCAGATGTGGGGCTTGATCCCAGGACTTTGAGATCATGACCTGAGCTGAAGGCAGAGGCTTAACCCACTGAGCCACCCAGGTGCCCCAGACTGTGGAATAATTTTGAAGGTTGATTATTTATTATAATTTCAGAATTCTACATACAATTTTGTCTGATGTTTAATTGGCACTCTGATTGAAAGTATTAACCAGAGTCTTTTAGCCACCCCTGAAAATGTACTTCTGTCAGCCAAAGATGCATACATGTATAGCTTTCATTTAATCAATATTCAAATACTAACTGAATGGAAGACCTGGGGTAAGCCCTGGTGGTTTATAAACACTGTATAAATTCCTTTCTTTGTGTATTTTTCCAGTAGGGAGTTAGGTAGAGATAAGGGAGGCAGGAAGGTAAAAGATTGTTGTATATAAATCTACTAGCGCATGGATTGAAAGATGTAGATTAAAACATATTACAATTATGTCAGCTATCCCTCAATAAAAATAATATCCAGTAAAGAGGTGCCTGGTTGGCTCAGTCATTGGGTATGCACTTGTTGATCATGGGGTCGTGAGTTGGAATCCCATGCTTAATATTAGAGCTTACTTGATTAAAAGAAAGATAAATAGATAGATCTAGGTATCTTCAATAAAAACATAACAATACAGCTTTTAGATACTACAGAATCTTGACGGGTTTCAGGGAGATAAATTGTTTTCGGAGGGAAGGTAGCTTGTGTGAAAGATAAAGTGTAAAAATGAGTGTAGAAGTTGATGTAGGAAAAGAAAGCGTGAAATATCCCTTTGGATTTTCATGTCATGGGTTCTAGACGTCCTGTACTAGGTAAGTTTGGTAGGCTGTATTCTAAGCTTAGTTCTATTGTAAGTGCTTAACAGAGATTAGTTACTACAGTATTCCCAGGTTACCTATATAGTTGGAGGCAGAGTTAGCATTTTACACACATTATGAAAGAATTTGTTTGTAACTGATACATCACTTCATTTGGGGGGAATTAGCAAGATTGATCAGCTGGATGCAGATTTTGGAAAAAGCTGTTGGAAATACAGAGCTTAAGAGAGCAGTCAAAGGAATAAATATTCTATCTAGTAGTTTGTGATTGCCTGGAGAGGAAAACAGAAAAAAACAGGGAATAAACAGAGAAGTGAGCAATGGGAATATATCGTTAGAGAAATAAAGAGGACAATGTACTCTTTTCCTGTAAGTTCAGTTTTACTGTATAATACTGTATGCATCATTGCTGAAGATCACATACCACAATATATACACATTAAATCTTGGACCCTGTCAAATAGGACCCTATTTGACCTGTCCAATTTGACCCTGTCAAATGGGTTATTTAACCTGGTTTGTGACCTGTATTAGGGTTTCCACGTGTGTGTGTTCTGTGTCTGTATATCGTGATTCCTAATAAACAGTCTTGCATTACTTTCTCCTTGCTTTGAGTTATGTCACAGATGACTTCTAGGTATTTTTTTAATTTATCCACAGCAGTGTGGCTTTTCACTTTGATACATCCTGAAGTTACTCTTGTAGAGATAACCAGTGAATAACTATTTTAAACATAGGGTGACACAGTTATTATTGATAACCATTTCTCCCACTGTTGAATTTAGATGTGTGCTTGAGTTTTTCCATTATTTTTATTGCTGTATATTCACCATTTTAAACCTCATTTCAATTTATATTGAAATATAAAGCTGTTCCCAATTTTTAGAGGACAAAAAGCAACTAGTGATAAGTACAATGGAAAATATATAGAAAGATGCTTACAAACTGTGAGTTTAAACAATTAAACTGGTGTTTAATTGGCACTCTCCTTGTTCCTAACTATTCTGAATCCAGAGTAGGGGTGGTGGTGTACTGCTTTTTAGATAGATCTTCATAGTTGGCTCATAGTTAAATACAGTGTACTTAACTACAGTACATCAGTCAAAAAGAAAATCAAAATT